GCAGGGAGCTGGATCAGAAGTGCAGCACCCAGATCTCAAACCAGCGCACATATGTGATACTGGTACTGCAGGCAACAGCTTAACCCGCTACACCACAGTACCAGCCCCACTTCCTTCATTTTGACATCTTCTCTCAACAGTTTCTAGTATGGCAAGAAGATCAAAGTTCTGTAACTTGGAGATCATCGTCTTCTAAATGTGGAACTGATAAGCAAAGACAATCATGTGTGGATTAAAGCACAAGAACACCTGAGAAGTGTATCATCTGGGGCTTTTGCTATTTTAGAGGATTTTGTTGTAAGAACCCCACAGAGTGCATTTTACAAACCTAGATGGTCTGGGGCTACTACTCCATGTGATTGCACCAATAGACTCAGCAAACTTGAGAGAGATGAGGCTCTGCCATATCACACGACAGACTGTTTTACAGTCACTTTTTATACAAGTAGTCATTCTAAAATATTGATGAAAAAGTACAGTAAATACATAAACCAGTAACATAGTCATCTGTTGTACTTGGATGTAATTGTTATGCGCTACACTTTCATATGACCAGTAGCACAGTAGGTATGTTTACATCAGCATCAAACAAAAGCATGAGTAATGCTTCATGCTGTGATATGACGGCAACAGTGTCACCAGACAATAGGAATTTTTCAGCTCCATTATCATCAATGGGACCACTGCCACACATGCAGTGCGTCACTAACCGAAACATTAACTGAAACATTAACCGGCCATGACTCTGTATCCCTATTAACCTACTTGTTAGTGAATAAGACAAACATCCCATAAAGAAGGAAAAGCACCTTCACTATCAGCAAGCACTGCTTTCTAAACATCCTCTCTCCTGTTTATAACGAAGTTGTGAATAAAGTCCAATACAACGATTTTAATGAGGTCTACTTTTTTGTAATTTTTGCGAACAAAATACATCTTGGAAGAGATAGTGCTTTGTGATAACCTATCTAAATGCTATGGAGTACAGGGTTTCTGGGATGTCAACTTTCAGCATTTGCAAAATGTTGGTCCATTTTCTAAAAAGTGCATTTCTTTTCTTTCCTGCCTTCTTCCCATGCTCTCATTACACCACGGGGTGAGGCCTAAGGGTGGAAATCTGTTCCCAGCCTTCCTAACAATAGAAACATATCAAAGAAGGCAGGAGTGAATATGAGAATAACAGCCAATGGTACTTCTAGCACAGTAATTTTACATTCATCATGGTAGCTCCCTGCTCAATACCCCCACTGTGCCCTGATCACTCCTTTTTTAATCAGTGGTTCCCCTGCCACCTGCAATTATTCATCCAGCCCTGCTGGATAATTTTCTTCCCCTGCCTGGCATAACAACAAAGCCCAGAAGCAAGAAGGAACACCACTAAAAGGCAGGTCAGACAATGATGCAATTAACAGATCACAGAGAAGTGGCATTTCAGAAAGCCCATAGCACAAGAGACAGACTGATTTCATGGGTCAGGACATGACCAGGAAACCAGAGGCACTGTTTAGGAATATCTACATCAAAATTATTTTCTCCAAATGAATAAAGGCAGGTGTCAATATTATCCCCCTGATGAAAGCTAAAAGCCTTATATGGAGATTGAAATTAGAATCAAATTTAAAGCCATTTTGGAAGAGGAATCTTCTGAATCCCATGCCAGGCAAGGTGTGTATTTTTGTTCACCTTTTCTTAATCATTTTCTAATCACAGGAATCCATAATGCAGGAAACAAAGTCAATCCACAAAGAACCAAATCCCACAATAAGTGCTAGGGATGTAGCTGACTAAATCCAGTTGCTACATACAAAGGCCAAACCAGTTGAGGAGGTAGTCAACAGCTGATTTCACAGAATCCGATACAGGAGAATTTGTGCGTTGAAGGCTTCAGCCATGAGTATAGCAAAGAGAAATGAGTTGTCTTGATCTCTTCCCAGGAAGCTAAAGATCAAGTTAACTAAGGGCCTGGACTCAACACATGACCTTGGAGGAATTAGAAACCAATGGAATATCTCTTTCAGAGCACATTCTTAATGGATACTACAAGCATCAACTCAGCTATGAATTAGAGAACGGTATTTCACTTAGGTCACTGTGCTTTCAAGAGAGGGATCCAATCACAGAGGTTTCTCATTCTGCATTTCATAAGCATCAGTAAATTTACTCTCTTTAACAAACGTTTTCCATTTTGAAATAGCCACTACAGTACAACGCACCAGGTTTAGAAGTACTCACCAATCAAGTAAATAGAAAATGTCAAAGTTAATAAAAATAAAACATTAGTTCCAGATGTCTCACTTCCCCCAATGGTGAAAAAATAAAGACATTTAAAACAAATTAATTTGGGTGCTGTTATGACTTTTCAGTTACTTAACGGTCAAGTGACATCAGAGAAACATTACCAAATATTACCAAAAAAAAAAAAAAAACCCACATGATTGAGATGACAATCATCAAAGTAGTTGTCATACTCAGGTAAAACAACATGAATTAGGAAATTACCTCTTTAGTCCAAAGTCACTTCCAACCTTACAAGTAGGAAAATTCCTTCGGGAAAGAGACCACATCGTACACATCTTATATCCCCAGGATTTAATACAGTGCCTAGCAAATAGATGCTCAATAGTATTTTCTAACTACTCTCTACTCCTAACTTTTCTAACTACACATGAAAGTGAGAAATGTTAAAGGCCAGGTTCTCACCTGTATTCACTTTCAACGATTCAAAACCTGAAAATGCTGATAAACTGGTGTCTCGAAGGAGCTTCTATAAGCTGAGGCAGACATCCCTGAGAGGGATGCCTGATTACTTAGGAGCTTTGGCTACAGAAACTTACTCCCCAAAGACCAAAGTGGAAAGCAAACTTGTGGAGCAGCTTGGCACCTTTCACACATGCAAAATAATCAGTTGCACAAAGTTAGGTTTAGTCCCAAAACTGTTCGGACTTTGTTCCTCTATCAACATCTGGGTTCAGCATGATTCCTGACCTCTACCTCAAACTGGAAATTTCAAACACTAACAACCCGGCTCAACAAGAAAGTAATGTCCTAGGTCAAGGCCACGGGAAACACAGAAGCCAGGATTAGCAGAAACAACACACAGAAATGATTCTGACACACATAGGAATGTTTCTAAATATCTAAAATAATGAAAAGACTTTTCAAGAAGGAAAATTTAAATATTCTCAAATTAAACGCATCTATATCGTGGAAGAGATAGCTTTCTTTTCTTTCTAGAGAGAGCACACTTTTCTCTTCACTGTGGATTTTGGCTACAAAAACCTGGTTCATGATCTGAGACCCCAAAACTGATTGTTTTAACAAGCCATGCCTTGAACTGACCTAGTTTGGAGATCTAGATGCCTTTAAATTGCCAATGAACGGAAACCATTCATGAGAATGGGGCTTTTGAATGCTGAGAATGTCCTTCAGGGCTCAGCACAGAGATATTTGGCATGGGTGACTGTAAATATTTGTAAAACCCTGGGTAAATGGACAGTGTTTGACCACACTCAAACCCTACTTCCAGCACAGTAATGTAGGAGCAAGTTATCTAGGGTGATTAGCTTGGGAAGTTTTTGGTTGAGTTTCTTTGCTTTGTTTGTTCAATTTGAATCAAAAACCAAAGAATCCAATTCTACCATTTGATATCTTTTTCACATTCACTGTATATTTTTACTTTTTTTTTTTCTCATCAAGACAGTCAATTAGTCAGAAGCTCTTTTTGATATAGAGATTTCTTTAAATCTCCATCCCATTTTTCTAGGTCTATGCTCACTACAAAGAATAAAATACCAGTCAAAGGTGTGCAAGGGCAGGGCAGGCATTACGTGCAACCACAGCCTTGGGTTTCATAAGAGAATTATTTCCAAGTGGTTTTGGGGATCTGCTGTGGATTTCTTGCTTTTTCTGCACCACTCCCCTCAAGACAGTTTTAGAGACTTATGAGACTGCTATCCATGAAAAGGACTCAGGTTGAGAAGGAGAGAGAGCTGGAAGGCAGAGGAACCTGTAAAGGAATTAGATGTGAGAGGGACGGAAGGCCAGGAGCCTCATCTGGGCGAAAGCCGCAGCAGCAGATACTTCAATTAGTCAGGAACTCAGTTAAGACTGGCTGGGCTCCTTTTGCCTCACCCTAAAAACTGAGTCATCCCCAAGTTCACTTATTTTGCTTCTGGGCATGGACACCCCTGATTTGCTGTTTCAGAAAGGTTAGATATATTATCCCTTATCTCATACCTCTCAATGCTCCAATAAACACCCAGATACATCAAACCAGAAGAACACTTGCAAATTCTATTGGGAGCCCCAACAACTGTCTGAGTAGGATACATGTGACAAAAAAAAAAAAAGAAAAGAAATAAGAAATAAGAAACTGACAGTCTGCAGTGGAAAAACATGAGGAAAGAGAACATTTTCCCAAAGTGCAGACTTTATTTCTGAAAAATCTACATGTGAGAAGTACAGGGTCCTTCAAAAAGCTCATGGAAAGTGGAATTAACAGATTTTATTTTGGTGCAAAAGTTTTTGAAATCCACATGTAATTTTCCACAGTATACCATTCCATGAACTTTTGGAGGTACCCTCCTGTACGCACCAGGAGTAGACTGACAATAGAATCTCTGAAACCAGTAAGAAAAGCAAAAGGGATACCCTAGAAGGGCTAAGCAAAAGATCCCCTTTCCCTGTTGAAACACCAGTCAGTTTCACTTTAACTTGAACTTGAAAATTGGATCAGAGTTTCATTCTGTTTTATCAGCAATTATCTGATAAAATAATCACTGTACTGTATGGCCTAGATCCCACGGTTAACATAACATCTTATTCATAGCCATGTGTGTCAACATATTGCTATGCATTTCCAAATAACAGAAGGTAGACATCCTAGACAATGCCAACTTCTGGTCTCCCCTTAAGACACAGGGAGGTTTGGTCCAATCTTCAATTTCATGATACCTTCTGTAGCTATTGCTTTGTTAGAAACAAAACGAGTTTCTTCTTACCTTTCCAAAGGCATCTATTTTTAAAAGTTAACAGGTGTCGGAGGCATTCAGAATGGATTCAGTTCTGCACGGCTTGAGCAGTGGAGGCAGAGCGAGAGCCCTCAGCCTCGGCGGTGGCCGGGCCAGTCTCCCGGGTCCTTTGCCTGTCGCGGTCTGGCAGCCTGCAGCGCACAGCGCTGGAGCAGCCCACCTGGCAGGAGGGCCGCGTTGTCCCCGGCGGCTTCTCAGCAGCCCGGTCGGTGCGCGCCGCCAGCCCCAGCCGCTCGCACGCCGCGGAGGAGGGGCCGTCTGTCTCAGTCTCTTCAGGGCTCCGGGCTCGGGGCTGACAGCTCTGCACTTGGCCGGGGCTGCACCAGCGCTGCCACTCCCAGACCGACGGATCGGAGGAGGAGGAGTCCCTCTCCGCCCCCTCGGCTTGACGGGCAGCTGCGGTGCCCGCGAACCGGGCACAGCCAGCGGGCGGGCGTGGGGCGCAGCTCGCCGGGAGCCCGGAGCCGGGAGCCGCGCGTTTATTTATACAGGAAGCTCGGGCGCCGCACTTCCTACTTCCCATCTGGGTCGCACTTCAGCCGCAGGTGATGGCCTTAACCCTGTCCGAGCCCAGCCGCCACCAGCAATGGGAGATCCAGTCCTCCCCGGGGCGTCCGGAGCGGAGTCCCCGGGCAGCAGCCCTGGTGCCTTCCGTCCTACCCAGTCTCTTGGTCCCCGGCGCCTGCCGCTTCTCTGTACACATCTTCCCAGGCACCTTCTTCTCCCAGCTCCCAAAGTCTCCTTTCTGTAACACTCCAGACCCGCCTAACCACCTCGCCAGAAAACTGTTTATTATAGAAATACTTCCCAAGCACATCGCAAAAAACAGATGGTACCTGATCCATCCTTTTGCGTCTAGTGATAAAATTAGAAAGCAAGCCCATCCAGTCAGGGAGAGTGTTTGTTTCCCTCCTAAGACACGGGCATGTTTTTTATGAAACAATGATTTCCACTGGAGTGCTTTGTCAACACATTATGTGGGGAAACGCACGGTAACTGAACTGGTTGCTCAGCAGTTAAAGAAAGAGAAAGCCAGATGCTGTGAGATACTACCACATGCCTTCCTCACTCCAAAACCTCCAACACTTAATACCGCGCGATATTTTTAACAGATGACGTATTAACTCACTCCTCACAACCCACCCCGTCATAGGTCACAATCACAGCCCACATCCGTTCAACGCTGCCACGTCAAATGTCCCTTCTCTGACAGAAGGCTCTGCCTGCAACTCACTCTCCTTTTACATCCACTGTCTGGATCATGCTTCCCATAAAAGAAAGGATTCACAAGTCCTTTGTGGGGGAGATCCGTGCCTGCCAGTGAAGTAGTAGCAGCAGGCACTCTTCCAAACTACACAAGCAAACTGGTTCTCAGCTTCTGTGGAGGCAAACCTCTAGGTCAAAGCGAAGGGCGGGAGAACCGAGTGGAACTATGTGTGTGATGCTAGCGCAGGCGGGAGGACCAGCCCACTGGTAGGGGAGAGAAGGCAACAAGAACACACAACAGGGACCCAAGGTAATAAAATCAAAGGATATTTGAGCCTGAAAAGTCCTTTGAGCTTTTTAAGTTCAAACACCTAATTTTAAAGATGAGGAAATTGATGTCCAGGGTGACTTAAGTGATTGGCCCAAACCAGAGAGCGAAGGAGCTGGAACAAAGAGCTGGAACTTGAGAAAGGTGTATGTCAAGGAAAGCCGCCGCCCCAAGACACCTAACGTCAAGTGGAGCAGTGCCCTAGGTTCTGAGATGACCTACCTTAAAGAACTTCCTTGGCACACTAGCCACTGCTGACCTACAGGCACCAGGAAAGATAAATAAAGCACCTTGGAAGAGGTCAGTTTATTCATTAGAGGGCATGTAAATCTTCAGAGCCTTAAACCAAAGTTCAACACAGAGTCCACTTTTTAAATTACCATGCAATTAAGCTATAATCTCTGTCAGCAGGACAGGGAAAAAGCTGCTGCCAATATGAATGAAAACACAAGTTAAGCAACAATAGGGCTACCTGTTGTCCCGAATATTTTGTATAATCAAATAGCATCATTGAGTATCTCCAACCATGCAAACATATCAAAACTGCAGGCAAAATTTAATAAGACTAAATCAACATGGGGAATGCTATAGTATTATGGGAACAATCTTTCCGATCTGCCTAAGTGTCCCTGGGGTGAATGAATATTCATTCTCTTGAGCACTGATTGGTTTTCTTCCGTAGAAGCTGCCCTGGAACACGAAGGTGAAGGTAGCTTAAATGCAGTCCCTGTGCTCAAGGACCCTCCAGTCCAGGGCAGGAGGGAGATAAGCGTATCAGCTATCAGGGTACTGTGATGAGCAATAGGGTAGACTGAAGCATGGTGCGCCATGGGAGCACAGAGACAAACAGTTTAACCAAAGGAAGGGAATTGATGAACAGATTCAGAGCAGGCTTCCTCCACAGGGCGATATAAATCTGAGTTTTCCAGGAAATGAGTGGAGAAGGTAGAGAAGGGCGAACAGGCAGAACAATGACTGCAAAAACAAACATTAGAGTTCAGGTGAGGCTTTTCATAATTCAGACAGAGTAGATGTGGTTGATGTGTTCACAATAAAAGAATGAAGGTCTGAACCAATGTAGTGACATGCGCGTGGGAAGGAAGGGATGAAAACATTAAAGACAAATAAAGCGGCAGGCATTCGGCCCACGTGGGATGCCCACACCCAATATCAGAGTGCCTGGGTTCAAGTTCCAGCTCCAGCTTCCTGCTAATGTGCACCCAGGGAGGCAGCAGCAATGACTCAAGTAGTCTGGGCCCTGCCACTCTGCAGATACGGATTGTGTTCTGGGCTGCTGGCTTCAGCCAGCCCAGCCTTTTGGGGGTGAACTAGCAGATGAAAGATCTCTCTCTCTCTCTCTCTCTCTGCCTTTCAAATAAATAAAAGTAAATAATATAAAATATTTTAAAGGAATGGGAACAAATGAAAAGAGATTTCAGAAACAGAATTTATGGGACTTGGTATCTAATTGGATGTGAGGGATGACAGAGAAAGAAGAGCCCAGGCCATTGGCACCTCTAAGAGTGAGAAAAAAGGACACACAGAGGCAAGCAAAATGATGGTGATTGCATTTAAATCCTGCAGAAACAGAGGAATCTCTAGGGCATACTGGAAAACTGGTCTAGTAGGCAGTCAACAGGAAAAGATCTGACATGAGGGCCATTTGGGAATGGCCATCATTTAGGGGGTGGTCATGGATGAAATTACTGAAAGCCAGGATCACCTGCAATGGAGAGTGTGCTGTGGAGGGAAGCCCAGAGCTTTGGACCCAGACAAACGCTACCACTCATTCATGTCTGTATAATCTCAAGCAAGGTACTTAACTAAAACTCAACTTTCTCATCCATAAAATGGGAATCATGAGGGCTGGCATTGTGGAGCAGGGAGTTAAGCCACTGTTTGCAATACTGGCGTCCCATATCAGAGCTCCAGTTCAAGTCCTGACTGCTCCACTTCTGAGCCAGCTACCTGCTAATGCACTGGGAAGGCCACAGAGGCCCAAGTACTTGGGTCTCTGCTGCCCACACGTGAGAACCAGATGGTGTTCAGGCTCTTGGCTTTGTCTTGCCCAGTCCCAACCATTGCAGCCATTTTGGAAGTGAACCAACGAATGAAAGATTTTTTGGCCAGTGCCATGGCTCACTTGGCTAATCCTCTGCCTGCGGCGCCAGTACCCCAGGTTCTAGTCCCAGTTGGGGCGCCGGGTTCTGTCCTGGTTGCTCCTTTTCCAGTCCAATTCTCTGCTGTGGCCTGGGAAGGCAGTGGAGGATGGCCCAAGTGTTTGGGCCCTGCACCTGCATGGAAGACCAGGAGGAAGCACCTGGCTCCTGGCTTTGGATCAGCGCAGCGCACCGGCCGTAATGGCCATTTAGGGGTGAACCAATGGAAGGAAGAAGGACCTTTTTCTCCTCTTGTCTTCCCTCTTCTCCTCTCCTCCACTGGCCTAAAACTTCTGCCGGGCCAAAAAAAAAAAAAAAAAAATTTTTTTTCCCCCTCTCCTTGTCCCCCCCACCCCCTTTATCACACCCTTTCAAAATAAATTTAAAAAAAAAACCTTTTTTTTTTTAAAAAAAAATGGGAGAATGAGTGATATATATCATTCTCCTTAAGGGTCCGTTTGGTAAGAGCATGCACATGGAGAAAGGATTGTAAAGTAGCTAGTGTTGTGCCTATTGGACAGAAATATCTACACTGTACCAGTCTTAAAAGTGGGGAAGTGAATGCCACCTCTCAGAAATTTGCAGTGTACAACCTACTCAGCTGTGCACTGTGGCCCTGGCCTGACACACAGTAGGAACTCAATGTTCAACTAAGAGGCAAAAGGAAAAGGAAGAGAAAAGAAAGAGAAAGGTCAGAAAAGTGAATCCAAAGGAATACCACTATTTAAAGGGTAAGTAAAAGAGAAGCCCTAAAATAAACCTAAGAAAGAATTGCTGAGGCCAGCACTATGGCATGGTGGGCTATACATCCACCTGTGGCGCCAAGTCATGTCCTGGCTGCTCCTCTTCTGGGCAAGCACTCTGTCATGGCCTGGGAAAGCAGTGGAAGTTGGTTCAAGTGCTTGGGCCCCTGCACCCATGTGGGACACCCAGCAGAAGCTCCTGGATACTGGCTTAGGATCAGCCCAGCTCTGACCATTGTGGCCATTTGGGGAGTGAACCTGTGGATGGAAGATCTTTCTGACTCTCCTTCTCTCACTGTCTGTAACTCTACCGCTCAAAATAAAATCTTTTTTTTAAATGAAAATTATTGTCTTTAATAAAAAGAAAAGTCAAAATTCATTCTTTTTTTTTTTTTTTTTTTTTTTTTGACCGGCAGAGTTTAGACAGTGAGAGAGAGAGAGACAGAGAGAAAGGTCTTCCTTCTGTTGGTTCACCACCAAAATGGCCGCTACAGCCTGTGCTGAGCCTATCTGAAGCCAGGAACCAAGTGCTTCCTCCTGGTCTCCCATGTGGGTGCAGGGCCCAAGCACTTGGGCCATCCTCCACTGCCTTCCCAGGCCACAGCAGAGAGCTGGACTGGAAGAGGAGCAACCGGGACAGAATCCGGCGCCCCAACTGGTACTAGAACCCGGGGTGCCGGCGCCACAGGCAGAGGATTAGCCTAGTGAGCCATGGCACTGGCCAAAATTCATTCGTGAAATTACACTTCTGTTCAACCTTAGCATGTATTTTTTTTTAAGGATTTATTTATTTATTTGAAAGTCAGAGTTACAGAGAGGAGAGGAGAGACAGAGAGAGAGTTCACTCCCCAGTTGGCTGCAACAGCCAGAGCTGCGCCAATCCAAAACCAGGAGCCAAGAGCTTCTTCCGGGTCTCCCACATGGGTGCAGGGACCCAAGGACTTGGGTCATCT